GTTCCTATCTGTACCCATGTACATCCTCTGGTCTAGCCAGGACACATGTTCTTATAAGTCTCCTTCACCTCAAATATATGTCACTCCTATCTGAGCCATCCAGACAATGGGCAAGATATAGTATAATGATTGTTTCTTAGGGCCCGATGTTGGGTGCAGGAGACAGACAAATCAAGGGGCGATTATAAGACCGTAACACCAAGTGATCATGAAAAGACTGAGACGCCTATGCATGAGACGTGGACTCCAACTGAGCTTGAGAAAGAGAAGACTTCTCAGAGGAGGTAACACTCAGCCTGAACCGTGAAGGATGTGGAACCACTCCTACTGATAGTTACTGTGCAGCAGCCATCGGATCCATACGCTTCCATGTATGAACTCACTGAATTTCCCCAACAATTTGAGGTTCCGAGACTGACCTTACGTAAAGATGGGAACACTTTAGGCCAAGGGGCCTGTGGGTTTCACCCTTGGTTCTAGGCATAGCAAGTTCTTCCCCATTCCTCCACGGTCATGAGCCTCCTCTCCCCAGCTCAGACTACAAGTAAATAGTAGGAAGAGACAGCTCAGTGCCCAAGCCTGGATAAACACAGCTTGAAGAGGTGGGGGACAGAAGCCAGGATGGGTGGCCCTGTGACAGAGGGCCTGGAGAAGCCCCTTGCTCCAGTGTGGGTATAGAGCCCAAAGCCACAAAGCCTGGGTGAGAAGAGGCCGGCCTTCTCACAACGAATACCAATTTACTAACTTCTGGTTGGAGGACAGATTTGTTTCTGTTTTTCTTTAACCGTGTGAATACATATGTAACAAAATATTAGCCTTCTCCTCATTCCTCCAACGTACAATTCAATGACATCAGTGGTGTTCACCAAGTTGTGCAGTGATCACCAGTGTCCCCTTTCTAAAATTTCCCTTCACCATAAATGAAGCTCAGTACCCTGAGCAAGGAGGCCCCTGTTCCTCCTCCCGTCCACCGTCCACCCACCATTGGTAACCATAAATTGACTTTGGTCTCTATCTACTTGCTGATTGTAGATATTTCTCTAAGTGGAGTCATGCAACATTTGTCCTTTCACGACTGACTTTTTTCATCAGCACGATGTGTTGAAGATGTAAGGCAGCAGTGACTCCATGGCAGGCCGAGCCTTTTAAAATAGGCCTAAGTTTCTTTTTTTTTC